AATGCATATTATATATAAATATGTAAACGTACATGAGCTCTGGTAAGATATTTAAATGTACAAGCTTCTGTATCACATTATTTGCATAAAAGAAATGAATGAGACACTCTTTTTGTTCTTTTATTACTTTATTTCATAAACATTTTCATGATCTCGCACAGATTTCATTGGGATATTAACATACAATGGTACCCAGTGGCCTGCCACTAATTTAATCAACAATAATAATTATAATAGTACTTGAAATAACAGTAATACCCATTATGTGTACAATAAACCAGGTTTCATGAGGGAAAACAATAGCATGTATACTTGTGTCGTATAGTGTGATGGTTCGGCTAATAGGCTTGAAAAAACAAACAAATCAAAGCTCGTAATGCAGCCATTTCTTGGTTGTCTGAGAGAGTGTTTCTGAGCACAGTAACGCATGTGAACTGTCCTTGAGAAGATAGGGCTATCTGGCAATGTTTTACAAATCCCCCTCTGTTGATTTGTTGCAGACGCACGTCACATGAAGAGTCTGCAAAAAATGACAGAAACCAGTCAGGAGGCGCTCATTCCACTACCTCGGGTTTGGCATGCTGTGATGATGCCAGAGAGCAGAGGAGAAGGAATGGTAGATCATCTCTAGAAAGGTAATCATCAACATCTATGAGCACAACAGCTGTCCATGCCTCAGCATTTCTCTCTTTAGATTCCATATAAAAAACCGCTTGACCAAACCCTGGTTTACAATAAATAGGGTTTAAAAGTTTGGTGTGTAACAAAGTAATCATCCTCATGGCAAAATGGTTTGGTGCAATAGAACTAGGTTATAAAAATGAACAAGATTAGAACACTCAAGTCAAAAATCCAGGTGTAGGAACAGATTACATCATCATCATCATTGGTATGCAGATCTGAGCATATACAATATATACAATGTAATTTAATTCTCTGATCTGCACCACAGAGATGTAATGGTTTCTCTCAAATGATTCTTGCCACACAGAATAATCCTTAAAGTACCCTTGTGTTATTCCTCCATATTAAAGACTAGAAACTCTCATTTTATAGCCTGTTCATGTAAGTATGCAGGAAAACTGAATTCCTGATCCATTATATCATATATTTATAAACACAAAGCTGTTCCCTTAATCAAAATAAAATAGCACCTCTGTTTCTGTATATGACACTTAATGGCAGATTGCTCAGATAGTTTTGCTTAAAAATGCACAATTGTTCAGATATCCTTGCTAAAATTTAACTACAGTGTATTTCATCTGCATCTTCTTTGAATAATGTCGTTTTTGTGAGATTTCAGAGAAATAAATCCCTTAAAAAATAGTTTACAAATACATTTTGTGGACTAAGCGATGAAGAATAGAAACTAAAATATTAAAAATCAAATTTCATGCGTTGACTTCCAATTATTGTGGGACTAAGACATACTTCGAGCACACAGAAACAATAACTTAAATTCTCCCAAATGTTAACAAATAGTGTTTTTCCTTTGTATTTTGGTAGTGTTCATCTTTTGGTTCATTGCAAAGTTTACTACAAGTACCTCAAGGAGTAAAAAAATAAAATAAATAAATATTAGCATTAAACAAAAAAAAAAAGAACGGTAAAGAAACAAAATATGTGACAAACGCTTCAATTTCTAACACACATTTTCTGCAGTATACTTTGGTAAAAAACAATGTGTAGATAAGCACAAGGTTGCAAAATATCAGTAAGGCAGGATATCAAGAACAATAATACTGAGAGAAGCAGGAAGATGAATGTGTGTGTAAGCGTGAGTGACGGGCAGGCTCAACTGAGGATCTGGGAATGGCCAGTACAAGTCATAAACATAATGAACCGAACACACGCAGCCCTGTCCCAAAGCCATGCACTGCCATCAACAGTCCAAAAACCTCTTGAGGAAGGAAACCGCAGCAGACAGGCTGGAAAACACACCGACTGATTCACCTCTACTTACTCCAGCGACGTCTTTGACAACAAAGAGCGAGATTAAAGCAATATCAAACACAAAATAGTTCAAGCAGTTCTCCGTGAGTCACCAGGCGTTCACATTGGCATTCAAAAGAGGCTCAGAAGCTCTTTCTAAAACATCAACCTCTGGAAAAAGTGGTAAAACGAGAGAACCTATCCTAAGCTTTTCTTGACCTGGAATTGACCACAATGCTCAGAAGTCCATTTAAAACTGCACATAACAAAGATCAAACACCAAAGCTCATCGACAATACCTAACCCACAAAACTGGGCTCAGAGGAATAAGTTATATTTACAAATGAATCTGTTCTTTAATCTTTTGCACTTTTCATACACAAATACAACACGGGTGAAAACGTTTGATATCCTCATCAAAACTTTTACCTTTTTTTATTTATATATACTATATTTATCAAAAACCCTCTAAATAAGGCAGGGATATCATTGAGCTCACAATGATATATACTAGTCCGATTCAAACACACCCTCATAACCTAAAATCCTCATATTATCTGCATTCTTATCGAATGCCACAACACCCCTGCATTCATAAAATCACTCATGCTCACTCAAAAAACAGGATAAAATCTATTTGATCCTGTAGGGACAGCCCTGTCAATTCCTTTGATTGAAACATTCCTATTACACACGTTTTCCTCCTCTGAATTGTTTTTCCCTACAGTTTGAACAAAAGGGACAGTCTTAGGTGTGAATCTCACAAAAACATGTCCAGGTCACATTCTATGAACGCCTGCTTCTGCCACGGAATAAAAAATATAAAAAATGTAATGGCAAATCTTTTATTTCATAATTCTGATTTCTTTTCCCTCACAATTCTGAGTTTATATTTCACAATTCGGTTTGTTTTTTTACAATTATGAGAAAAAAAATCTGAATTAATATCTCACAATTCTGACTTTTTTCTCTAAATTCTGAGTTTACATCTCGCAATTCTGTTTTTTTTTTTTGTCCACGAAAAAAAAGAAGGTATGTGCGACTTTTTGACTCACAAATCTAACTTTTTTTTTTTCTTGCAATTGCGAGTCTATATCTCACAATTCTGCCTTTTTCGCAGAAAGAATTCTGAATTTACATCTTGCAATTATGAGTTAAAATCAGAATTGTGAGATATAAACTAAGAATTGCAAAAAAAAAGTCTGAATTGTGAGATAAGAAGTCACAATTACCTTTATTTTTTTATTGCTTCAACACATTTCACCCCCAAAGCACCATTAAGGTTTTATTTATTCTTTACATTGTGACATACTAAATACAATTAAGATGTTTTGTTTTTCTCAATAGTTCTTATCCGATTCTCATTACTGCAACATGTTTTTTATTTAAATCGGCATAAATTAAAGACAGTACATCATATAATACTACACTTTATAAATATTTTGCTATTTAAATAATATAAAATTGATTTCACCTTACAGTAATGAGATTTTTACTAATAAACCATGTCACAGTGAAACAAAAATCTTCCCAAAGCCATGCACTGCCATCAACAGTCCAAAAACCTCTTGAGGAAGGAAACCGCAGCAGACAGGCTGGAAAACACACCGACTGATTCACCTCTACTTACTCCAGCGACGTCTTTGACAACAAAGAGCGAGATTAAAGCAATATCAAACACAAAATAGTTCAAGCAGTTCTCCGTGAGTCACCAGGCGTTCACATTGGCATTCAAAAGAGGCTCAGAAGCTCTTTCTAAAACATCAACCTCTGGAAAAAGTGGTAAAACGAGAGAACCTATCCTAAGCTTTTCTTGACCTGGAATTGACCACAATGCTCAGAAGTCCATTTAAAACTGCACATAACAAAGATCAAACACCAAAGCTCATCGACAATACCTAACCCACAAAACTGGGCTCAGAGGAATAAGTTATATTTACAAATGAATCTGTTCTTTAATCTTTTGCACTTTTCATACACAAATACAACACGGGTGAAAACGTTTGATATCCTCATCAAAACTTTTACCTTTTTTTATTTATATATACTATATTTATCAAAAACCCTCTAAATAAGGCAGGGATATCATTGAGCTCACAATGATATATACTAGTCCGATTCAAACACACCCTCATAACCTAAAATCCTCATATTATCTGCATTCTTATCGAATGCCACAACACCCCTGCATTCATAAAATCACTCATGCTCACTCAAAAAACAGGATAAAATCTATTTGATCCTGTAGGGACAGCCCTGTCAATTCCTTTGATTGAAACATTCCTATTACACACGTTTTCCTCCTCTGAATTGTTTTTCCCTACAGTTTGAACAAAAGGGACAGTCTTAGGTGTGAATCTCACAAAAACATGTCCAGGTCACATTCTATGAACGCCTGCTTCTGCCACGGAATAAAAAATATAAAAAATGTAATGGCAAATCTTTTATTTCATAATTCTGATTTCTTTTCCCTCACAATTCTGAGTTTATATTTCACAATTCGGTTTGTTTTTTTACAATTATGAGAAAAAAAATCTGAATTAATATCTCACAATTCTGACTTTTTTCTCTAAATTCTGAGTTTACATCTCGCAATTCTGTTTTTTTTGTCCACGAAAAAAAAGAAGGTATGTGCGACTTTTTGTCTCACAAATCTGACTTTTTTTCTTGCAATTGCGAGTCTATATCTCACAATTCTGCCTTTTTCTCAGAAAGAATTCTGAATTTACATCTTGCAATTATGAGTTAAAATCAGAATTGTGAGATATAAACTAAGAATTGCAAAAAAAAATCTGAATTATGAAGTCACAATTACCTTATTTTTTTATTGCTTCAACACATTTCACCCCCAAAGCACCATTAAGGTTTTATTTATTCTTTACATTGTGACATACTAAATACAATTAAGATGTTTTGTTTTTCTCAATAGTTCTTATCCGATTCTCATTACTGCAACATGTTTTTTATTTAAATCGGCATAAATTAAAGACAGTACATCATATAATACTACACTTTATAAATATTTTGCTATTTAAATAATATAAAATTGATTTCACCTTACAGTAATGAGATTTTTACTAATAAACCATGTCACAGTGAAACAAAAATCTTAATAGTCATTTAAACAAGATTAATTTACTTTATATGCAAAATAAAGTTTCCAATTTTGTTTCTTGACATGTTCCCTGACATTCACTCCTAGAATATGCGTGCTATGTTGAGCGTCCACTAGGTGGCAGAGTAAATTTGTTGGTGTTTTCTGAGTTGAAGGACCATGGAGTCAACAGGAAGCACATATTTCTATCATTGTGAGTGGTTAAAACCCGCTTAATAAATATTCCTGCTATGTTCCAGCAGTTTCTGATTACCACACATGTACAGAGGCTTGCATAGCTGAACAACAGTTCATGTGGCCAGTCCTATCACAATTCACTACTAAATGCAATAGCCAATGTTTAACATGTAATCGAAATGAGAAATCCAGGATTTGATCCTCTTACCAAGCGGATTATTGCCATTAATATTGGCAGGATTCATAGTCTACTGACTTTTGCTGATTTAAAATCAACAAAATCAGTCATTCCTTCCAGCTTCTGGTTATGTAAACGAGGGTATTTTACTGTAGACTCTCTAAGTCACCTAAACATTTCATGAAACCAGGCCAAACATTCACGCACAGCCAGCAAACCGTAGAACCATCTCACTTTGCTAAACCATAGCCTCACTCAAGAAACCACTTCACAACACCTCGAGATTTGGCAGAAACAGTCGATTTAACAAAGAAACTGCTAGCGGCCGAAAGAGCTGATGCACTTAATCACGTGTCCTCTGATAAGTCGTCTTTGAAGTGTGCACACTTTTGTCAGATTGTTCCAAACACTGGTCACTCACACAAGATGAGCAATGCACAGAGAAACATACCTGTAGATATTTCATGCAATTTACAACTGACAATTAATACAGATGTGTGTAAGAGAGCAGGTATACGTGTGTATGTGTGTGTTTTTGTCTATTATATCCTGTCGCTGTGGTCACATTTGTACAGTTTGTGTGTGCAAAATGATATCATATTTTCAGCCAATCATGTGCTTTCTCCCGTAGGTACTGGCTCCTCCCCTTCTTCCTCGAGGGCCTCGGATATCGGCCCGTTTGACTGCAGCTCCTCACCCCTGCCGGCTCTCGATAAGACCTCCATCCAACGTCGCTGCAGTTCCTCACAGTCGGCACTGAAGTAAACGGTCAAATGACTCTGGCTCATTTTGAAGGCGTTGCGACGTTCTAGACGGTCACTTGATTCGGGTAGAGACACCTCGAACCCGATGAGGGGAATACTGCGCTGGGCTTTGACATCCTGTGCGTATGGAGAGAGAAAGGTTGACTTCACTGGTCAACCATTAACTGACCACGGTGAACCGTATTAGTCATGGAATGAACACTAAGGCCTTGTTTACACCTAGTGTTAACATCTGTCTGATCACATGATTCTGGCAGTAACATGCATGTCAAATGCATCTCCTGTAACTATGTGTGACCAAATGTCATGTTGACGTCAAACAAGCATATGCACTACCGTTCAAAGGTTTGGGGTTGGTAAGATTTTCAGTGTTTATGAAAGAAGTCTCTTCTACTCACCAAGGCTGCATTTATTAGATTAAAAATACAGTAAAAATGTCAATATTGTGAAATATTATTACAATTTAAAATAACTGTTTTCTATTGTAATATATTTAAAAATGTAATTTATTCCTGTGATGCAAAGCTGAATTTTCAGCATCATTACTCCAGTCTTCAGTCTCTAACAAATCTTTAGTAACATTATAAATGTCTTTATCACTTTTAAACAATTTAATATATACTTGCTGAACAAAAAAAATTCATTTGAAAAAAAATAAATAAATCCCACTGACTCCAAACTTTTGAACGGTTGTGAATATATTTGAGCTTTTGCAAATTCTTTAATCTTGCATCATTTCTTATAAAGCCACATGGAATGGGCAAAGTTTGAAACCTTTGTTTTAACAGAATGGTTGAGTGAAATTTGTCCAGGACAGATCATTCAAGCCTGAATCCCCAAAAAGATGATAATACCAGGTGTACATAAAGTCATGATGGTTCAAATTCTTGTCAAAAATACAGAAAAAAATAAGATATCACATTAATGTTTTACAATAACAAACACACTTTCGTAAGAGTGGTGTATAAACCTGTGGATTAGTTGATGCAGCCCAGTTTGATCGTCTTACCTGCGGAGCACCATAGATATACAGCACCAGTGGTTCACTGTCAGGGATGACAAACCAGGCCTTCTGCCATCCACGTCCACTTCCCTTCTCCATATGATGCAGGAAACTACACAACACACTGTTCTCAGCTGCCACTGAGGCCTGTTTCTGTAGAAAAATAGAGGAGAAAAAATATAGACCACCACTAGCTTTCATGCTTTGGGTTGCCAGATGTCAAGAGTTTAAATCTGCCATCAAACCTCTAGAATGGAGCGGCGTCTCTGTGTGCTGTTGCTCAGACTAGCCGGAGAGGGCGGCACTCCCACTAGCGTGGTGTAGCAGTCTATACACACGCGGTTGGCTCGGTTGTTATCGTACAACAGACGGGCACGGAACTCCGAACACTTTCCACACACCACCTGAAATCAAGAAGCCCCACGTCAGCCCATCGGGAGCATGTTGAGTCAAATAACAGTTACATCAAATAACATACATGTCCACAGGCTTTGCAGTGATGCCGCCTTTTGGTAATAGAGTTGAAAGGCTCCTGACACTTCATGCACAGCGTGACCTCTTTCTCCCGGATTGGAGTGGGTGCTCGCTTTCCAAGCTCTGTGCAATTCTGAAAACAAAGAGCGGTCATTTCAACATGGGTTAAAATGTCATTGCATTAGAGCAAGTCATCATTAAAGGGGTCATATGATGCGATTTCAAGTTTTCCTTTCTCTTTGGAGTGTTGCAAGCTGTTCGTGAATAGGCAAGGCAAGGCAAGGCAAGTTTATTTGTATAGCACATTTCATACACAATGGTAATTCAAAGTGCTTTACATAAAATAAAATAAAAACAATAATCACAACAATAAAACAAGGAATTTAAAAGCTTTGAAAAAAAAATTTGATTTAATAGGTTTAAAATGAATTTAAGAAGACGATTATACAT